CGTCAGCGGATTCCTCGAATTTGGCGTTGAGCGCCATCTCCATCATGTAAATTGCACTTATTTGCCTTTCTGAATGGAGTATTTGTAAGGCAGCTGAATTGATTGTCACTTTATCATCTGAATTAATTTGTCTTAACTACGATATGTGCGAGACATCAACGTTAAACTGGCAACATGAAACGTGAAAGCCAAGTATTCTATACTACAACGTAATCCAATGTATTTAATGAAGTCTGCCTTGTGTGAGGAACTACAGTCCAACGGACGGGACACAAGAAAAGCTGTTCACTTACCTTGACTGAGGCAGACGGCACAGAGTAGCATGAGGACCAGAAGAATGAGCTTGGTCATTGTGATCCGATGGTGGGATCAACTGGCTTTGGGTGACGGTACCCTCCCCTTAATATGCACACAATACTCGCATGCTATTTAGCTGTGGTTACAGATGCACATCGCAATAGTGAATTAATACATTTTGCTAGAAAGCACATGCAATTTTGACGACAAATCTTTGCTGGAGTGCTAACGTCGTGTTCCTTCCAGGGCTCCTAAGCCTTATCCGTTAGCAGCTCGAGTAATAACTCTGTGCTTATGCATTTTTATACAGGAGCATTTACATATATTTACATAAACATGCATCAATGGATGTGTGGATGGGATGTGTGCCTATGCATAGACATAAAAGACAAAATATATAAAAGTAAAGACTATGAAAAGGCATGTTACATTAAATGCTAAAGAGACCGGCTCACAGTCAGTATATGCGGAGGTGTTGGCGCCACAGGCAAATACTTCCTTGCCGGCCGGCACTGTACACCAGTTAATCATCCACCACAAGTGCCAATATGCATTTCTCACTGAAAAAGGAATTTAAGCTTTTGAAGGCATACTCACAGGACGGCCCCCACTCCCCTCGTAATCAAAAATTGTGCATTGTATTTTGGTAATTTATAAGTGTTACATATTGCAGAGCCTGTGTGCATGACTTAACTGATAAATTCGAGGTAATCCTCAACATCTTTTACCTTCGGAAAGCAGCGATTTATCGGAACATCACATTTCAGTTGTCTTGCTTGATAACCTCATTGGAAAAAGGATAAAAAGCAATGCATAAAAATTTGTCACTCAAATATAACCATTTTTTTATTAATGTCACGCAAATCAACGCAGTAAATGTTTTAAATCTCCTTAGTTGAAAAGACGTTATTATCATAGAAGAATTCTGATAAATCCATTCTTACCTTTGATGGCACCGTCAACATGTGTTAACTAAAAGGCAGAAGGTCGAGATTATCACGTAAA